CTTGTCAAGTTTTAAAGATGAAGCTCAAGTGTATATTATGTGTTATCTTTTAGAGCACTATAACATGCAAAGTTTAAAAGAAATCCGGGTGTAGGTGGTTTCTATGGGAAATTTAACATAAGTTTGAACTCCACCTTTGTCATCAAGCGTGTGTTTGGAAGAAATGGAGGAAAACATTTTGCGACGTATTGTCGTACAATGTCAAACATATGGAAGGACATTCACCAGGTATATCCGAGTAATACAAATAGTTTCATGCTTCGAAAATTTGTAGCATGCGCAGGAGTGACATGCACAACCTTGAATTTGTGAAACTGAATTTGTTGATTCACTGAGTCATTGTGTCAAGGATGATAATGCGGTTAAAAAAGATTTGATATTTTTTTAAAAATATAACATGCCAATAGAAACTCAAATTCAATAAAAGCTACAAAACGAATAAATTAAGCGTCTTCTGATTCATCGAAATAACCCGTCATTTAAATCTGGGTCAATCCAAGTAAGTAATGTCTCCTTCTGAAATGAGAATAAGGTATAAACAACGGAACCAACAGGCGAACTAACGAACATCGAATACGTCAGGCTTCATATCACACGAAGAAATAAAATATTTATCACTGAGATCACTATAACGACCGTAAAACTTCCCCATAATTTTCATTAACCTTCATGTTTTGAAATCCTGCGTTACGAAGTTTTATCACATAACCCGTTTTCCCATGTCATACGCCCATGTCATAATAATGGTAATACACATGTGTAATAAAGGTTTGGGGTCTGCTGATTGGTCAAAACCGTAGGAACGTATTCATACGCCCGCGCCCATACTACTTTTATTTACTACGACAACAAACTGTAGTAAAATATGGCTGACCAGATCAACATTGGCGACACAGTTTTTATTGATTAGAAGGGGACTGGTGTGGTGAAGGAAATAATCCCACGGGGGTTTGCTGTATTTTATAATGTTGAATTGTGTGGGATTGACTTTCAAATTGAGCTTGAACGCGATCGTATTGGAAAGGTGGTAGATCCCTCCCAACAGCAGACGACCGCTCCGGATGGCGGTCCTGTTGCCCCTGAACCAAGTCGTTTCAGTCAGAGAAGATGAGGTGGGGAAGTTTATACAGGATCAATCAAACAACAAAAGTTTAAATTTTTTGAGTTACCAGAAATAAATGAAAAGCTATCATTAAAAACCTTTCTTGTAAAAACCTTTCATGGAAAAAAATATCATAATAAGAAAATAAATGCGTCCTTTCTGTCTAGAATTGGGTATAGTTGTGTACAGAGTGAAAAAATCACATGTTATTATAGATGATGTTTTTAAGAGATAGGAGAGGGTGTTGAAGATTGGTCAAAAGCTCCACATACTATCAATTTTACTTCTTGAGTAAATAGTTTCACAATAAGACGGTAACCAAGATTTGATAGTACTACGAATGATGGTTAGTAGCTTTGAAAAGGCTTGGTTGAACTGTTAGACGAGCCAGATAAAAAAGTTTACGGATCAAAGGTAATCGGGGTGGTCCATATCCTTATCCTTAACAGGCAATCGAAATCATTGTAAAACCGACGCATGATTTCATAATGTATTGGTGGTGTGTCCTTCGCATTCAAGCAAGGTTACATCTTTTTATATACAGGAACCTTTTTGTATACAGGAAATTTAATAATGTTTGGAGACATACCTGTCATGTAAATATTGAATTGTGAAATTAACACCAGGATCAGGTAAAGCTGGCCTGTGTTTTGTTTTCATTTGTTGCTAAAAGTAATCGTAAATATGAATATGATTACGAATTTATTAGTCAAGAGACCCCACGTGAGATTATTTGCGATATTTTGTCTTTTCAGGCGATGAACATTATTCGAGGTTGAATGAACTGGATATTGATATCGTCACATAGCTGCCATAAAATTTCGTACACACGCAATATCCCAAGATCCCAAGTAACGATAGTAAATAGATATAAAATTATCATTGAATAATCAATTTCAGCACACGGAATGAGCTGTAGGTCAATACAGGTATCTGATCATTTTTATATATCATCAAGTTTACAAAATCATCAAGTATCAACAAGTAATGTAAGAATATTTAATAATAAAATCGAAGAAAATTTAGATAATTGCATTCCGTATCATTCATCCATACTTTTTATATCAATAGTAGAAAACACAAGTTGAGATGATATATAACAAAATGTTTGTCTTGTAATTTCGAGCATGAATTAATCAATATAACAGTAAAGTGATTGATCTAATAGGCCAAATGATATCCATTTTACAAGACCGAGTCAAGTGTATTTTGGTGCTGTTTGACGTATTGTTCCAAGAGCTCTCTTAGTATACCATGTACTCATTCCATTATGATAAATGATTATACCATATTCAGCATAAACCAATGTCCTGAAGAATAGAGATACTTAACAAGTACAATTCGCATTTGTTATAAAATGTAAATACTTCACGTTCCTATAAAACAAATTCCCTGTGCAACTACACTTCATAATCTTATATAAAATTAATGCAAAACACAAATAGGACCCTATATCATGTAAACAATACTGGTAAGAAACATTAAGATAACAACATGATATTATTCACAATTAAAACATTAATTAAAAGATACCAAAAACGGGGAAAAATCATGCAAATAACAGACTCATTGTCGAACATTCTGAACAAGACAGGTATGCGCAAAGTAAGACATCTCAAAAAGGCTCGGTAGTAAAAAACGTCTGCGCTACCGAAAAAGTATTTGAGAATGAGATTATTTGTAAAGGTGTCTAATTGTTGATTTCCCTGATATTTAAAAGATTATGGGGACCAGAGCTAACTTCAGTTACGTTTAGATATATGACATACATGTATGGACCTGCCAAAGCGACGTATTAAACTAGCATGAATTACATGTCATTACTCTCATAATCAAAGAATCAAAAGAAACAACAAGAAAAAAAATGCCACGTTAACGGAATTTTAACGGAATTCAAAATCAATATCGATGATCAAAATATGACCAAACCAAAAGGTACGAAATAAGAAATTATATGACGAAATAGAAGACTATGTGTTCTGGACATATAAGCGTATTCTGATTCATTAGCAAGAAAGGCATATACGTAAAAAACTGCTTTATCGATGTCATCTGCCATGTAAATCTGAGAAAGTTATGTCAAGTTCTCAATTGAGAGCAAGGTATCATGGTCATTCCTGCCTTGATTTTATAGAAAGACAGCACCACCAAGCATACAATATAGCACACAACCTTGCAACATGACATCACATACGAAAGTAAATTATTTCCTACCGAGATAAGGATAGTGCACTTAAGTCTTCCCCGTGGCAGTAAGTAACCTGCATATCTTAAATCCCGGTGTTGTTAGCTCAGATTCATATTCCTGAATGTGAACCTCTGAATATCGAATCGACAACGACATATCGACCACTGAATTCTACTAATGCCTCAGAAATACTATTTGAAATTGAAAATTCATAATTAGAAAATTATCACACAAGTAGAAATTTAACAGAAAAGCAGGTGTATATATGCACCAATGTGTATATGATTACAGGCTGTATAAAGTAAACAAGTGAGTCATTCAGTAACTTCGACCAGGTATTCTAGGTAGAAATGAAATTTGCCTTGTTCAAATTGAATAATTCACACGTCTGTACTTCTGATTTAAAGGTGCAATCTGTTGCTAATAAATTGGGGAATTATAAACTACGGCAAGGTTTATCAGCTGTTTGTAAGCAAACCTAAAATGGTAAGCTCAATAATAAAATATCCCCCTGGCTTTTACATCCAGCAGTGATATTTTTCATTATTACGAAATAAAATGTTCATACGGAGATACAAATTCAACGTGTAAAGAGGGTTTTATGATAAAGTAAAAAATGTTTATCTTGAAAATAATACAGTTATATATACTTGCCCATCAGTTTGGGACCACTCATATATATTTAATATTTAACAAATATTCAACAACAACCCAACAGGATACATAGGAATATTTTTGTTAACTAACGAAACTATAAAATAAGCATAAGCAAAGTCTACAAAATGTTTTCCTTTTAAATGCCCCGTATTAAGAGATAAGTCATCAAATCACCACAGCATTTCCTAACGGTTTCTATTTGGGTATCAAAATGTCATTAGTGGGTATAGCCATCACGCTTCTAATACAAGTCTTGTGCATTTTATCTGAAAACATAATCCAGACGCTGAAGCTTCTTCTGAGGTAATCTCTGCCACTCTAATTGTTTGTTATTTTAAATCTCGTATATTGACTATTTCTGCGACACATATCAATTGGATTCATGTCTGGTGACATTGCATCAGAAGAGCATCTTTATCGTTTCTTGTTGAAAATAATCTTGCACTAGGCGGGACCTGTGTGGCTTGACATTGCCATCCATTAGAATAGGCCGGCCTGCAGATAGATTGGTATCGAAGAACGGAACAATTGAAGGTAGAAGGATCTGATAATGGTACGTCTACCCATTTAAAGTTCCATCAAGGGCATTCAAGCGAAGCCTACGCTTATAGTTTAGAGAAACACATCCCCAAACCATAAACTCCTGCCATCAAATGATGTTGACCTTGCAATGAAATTCTAAAACATTGCACTTCTCTATCTGTAACCTTTCGACGTCTGCCATACCTGGGAGGCTCATTTGCATGACCGATTTGGTTTGGGCATTAACTGAGAAACAGAATGGTTGGCATCAAAGCATGCAACTTCTTGCCTGTATGTTTCAGCATTTGTCAACTTTTGACGTGTCATTTTGTATTTTATTGTTTGGATAAGCACATGTATGACTGACCAGTTTCATCCGAATTATCAGTAAGGGGTGTAATACTTGGTAGCGCATGGCACCAATCACAAAAGGAGACACTTCGATGACATTGGTCCGTTTGGGTAACTTACACGGCGTTAATCAACAAGGAAGATATTGAACTTTTACAAAAGAGGTTTCAAAGATGATATCTAAAGACAACTCATCATCATCATTGCTTTCTTCATTGGCCTGAATCTGTTGTCATATGTATACCAGACAACAGCCCACCGATCATTTATTCCGGTGTCGGGTTTCCATGGACCGTTGATGTTACAGGAACTGCAACTGGCAAACCAGAATCCAGATTTAAAGGCATCAGCACAGGAATTATGGGTCAGGTCATTATCTTTATCCTTTGTTGAAAACTGCATGTGATTATGGTTTTTTTTGTTAAGGCAATCTCCTGTAAAAAGTATGAGATAATTTAGATACTTTCATAGTAATATCACACACACACACACACACACACACACACACACACACACACACACACACACACACACACACACACACACACACACACACACACACACACATATATATATATATATAAAGACATCACATGTTAATGTGCTATATTGTTTCCATCATTGTCATTTATATTTTCGTTTAAAATTGTGATGAAATAATGTTTTTATCCTGAATGGCAGCAGTTATGATTGCAAGCTGAGCAAACGTTTTAAGAGAATTTGTTGTTAGTGCAACGGTATTACACACCTAATAGCAATTAATGTAAAGCAGGCACCATGCGTTTAAAATAATTTAATTAAAAAAAAGGTAATGTGAAATAAATAACTGGTACACCTGGTGTTTTGGAATACCACATTGTCGCCCGACACTATAATGTTTATTCTGTCTATATTGGTTTGAACTTTTTGGATCGTTTTTCGTCTTTCGTTTTCATAGTATGATTATCAATTGTTTATTTCGGCTATCACATCCTCATATCAACATAGCAACATGAATACGATGTCCACTGATGATTGACATGTTGATAAATCATGTTGAAAGTTGTTTAATAAGAAGAGCATTCACAAGAGGTTTTAGTATCTATCATTTTCTGCCAATGAGGCCAATAATTCTCAAACATGACAACTGAACTCATTGATCATATTTCACAGCCATCCCAAAACTGGACTGATACAGATAGGTTAAAAAACGATAACAAATGTTAGCTGGTAATATGGAAGACGCAATGCATCCTCCTATCGTTTCACGTCTTCAATCCGTCGCAACAAGGAGGCATAATGTACGAAATTCGAGAAAAATCTTCCAGTACGTGTCAGGAAAAATCGTCAGAAATGTTGAAATGACAAAATTAAACACGTTTGCCGTTTTGCTTTTCTCCACCAGACACTAAAGAAAACTGTTTATCGGCCATTTCGTTTTTCTTACCAGCTTCAAAATTCACAACTCGTCACATAGGTAAGCCTGCATTTGTATATGCGAACTTTGAACGTATAGCAAATGAACTATGTGCTGAATTTGAAAGTCAACATCAAAGATGGCAACCTGACAGTCACTTGTTTTTCCTGGTAAGTTTCAAAAGCTAACATCGTACACATATAGACATGTTATACGCGAACAGTACAACATAATATACTTACCAGCAGTTCCACTGTAACCAGTAACGTTAAGGCGGTAATTGTCGGTTTCTGGGGCCAACTCGAAATTATCATACTGGGCGTACTTCCTGACACCTTTCCATGACTCAACAAGAACCAGCAAAGAATGAGGACCACTGGCTGTGAGTTGGTGCATAAGCTCAAGCCCTAAAGTTAAATGAGTCAATTCATAATTAAGTATATCAGAAATGATAGGTTTCGGTAATTAAAAACAGTTGCGAAACCATGTTGTCAATCTTTTTTACGTTTTCTGTGAGGTGTCATTTGTACTTTTAATGTTAGTGCGCAAATGCAGTTTTAGTATGAACAATCGAACACATGGCAAAAATGCCACTAAGCTTTGATTTTTACTAGGTGGTTCAACATCTCGGATAACGTGGATTGAAAGGATTTATCCTAGTATGCGAACGAGGAAGAATCAAGAATTCACGAATAACATAAAAATAAAAAAAGTGGTAATAATCCTGTATTGTCGAAATGAATACCATCGATGCTCATTCATTTCTGTGACGTGCTTATTAGTTACTGTTGCTATGGGTACGTAAAAATCAGCATTGAAACTGTTCGAAAAATTGTATCGCAGTAACTTTTTTCCTCGAGTATGTCATTAAACTGGACACTTGAATGCATTAAAAATAATGAACACTGATATGTAGAAGCAGTTTTAAAAATTCCGGAGTTATTATGTAAGTTAGCTACGTATGTGTTGGTTCGATATAGCCGTGTTTCTACGAACCGAGACATTGCACTTCGAAGATTGACACTGTTTTCACTGATTTTTATCGGATAAATCTCTCAAAGCATGGTGTGACAGTAATGAATAAGTAATAGATATTTTTTATGTTTGTACACTAACGATATCTTTTATTTAAATGAAAAGTTATAAGTATGAATATAAAACAAACAAATGTAATGTGAAACACTCGTCATTTGCCTCATACGCGTGGAAGCGCATCCATTCCATACACATAACTTAGTGGTATCGATACCTGAAGTAATACGAATATTGTGTTCACATTAACATCCTTAAGAGTGATTCCCATCAACAACATTTTAAAATAAAACTAGTATCTTTACTGAACTGCATCGGCGCGGTAGTTTTCTTTTTTCTTTTGGTTCTCTTTTGGTTTCAGGCAGCCATAAGCATAAACAAGACATAGTAGATTTACGGTTAACAGACTTCAGTGTAATTTATTTGAAGTTTGGTTGCCTAATTCTGTATCAATTCACCTGTGCTTCTCTATATATGCAGGGGTTATTGTTCGATCAAATATTTAGATAGGACTTGTTAACGACTGACCCATCACACTCAGTCATTCGGAACGAAGTCAATAAAGTCTCACCAGAGACAAGGTGACGCCTGAATGTTCGACAAAAAAAAAAAAGGAAATTATGGATGGACCACAAAATATATTCTACAAACAAGCAATATTCGACTCAACAGTGTTCTATTTCAAAATCTGCGTTTAACTTACAAAGGTAAAGAAGAAAAAAAATTGGGACTGAATAAAACATTCAACTCAGCTGATGCATTCGATTCAAGTAGGTTTTACTGTAACTTTCCTTTTTTTTAACTGTATGGGTGATACTTCTGACGTTGAGTGTTAGGGGTGACAATAAAGGAAGAAATGTGGAATAGAAGAGGAGGACCGGTAGGAATTTGGCAGGGGGGAGTAGATGTGGTATGGGGATCTATGGGGTTCTATCGGGGATGGGGAGGATGAGAGGACCCTACGCTTACCATTCTTAGAATGTTGTAAGTCCTATCTAAACCTTTTACAACTGTTGTGTTAATCTGATCGATAATGTTGGTTTGCAGTATGCGGTTTTGCGATAACACAGATCTTCACTGATGATGGTAAATATTGCAAAGAATAATGTTTAAACCTACGTAGATGGATTTGTTTTTTTTGTTTTTGGTTCCCGGCAAAAGGACCTTGCTGAAAGTCTACAGTGACTTGTGCTAAGGGCATCGTGTCCCCTGCTTGACAACATTTACAGCAAGACAGTTACATTTACAATTCATAAATTTCCCGTAAGGGGTCAGCTATCATTATCAATATATTCCATAAAAAAATAATAATTTTCTAACGCCTTAACATTGTATATATGTATATTATATATATATATATATATATATAATCTGTGCGCAACTTACTGTGATTTACATAGCCAAGTTTAAATCATACCTATCCAAAATTCTCCTAATGGATCCCCAAATCCATTCTTGTAAGCATTCCAGTCATTGTCGAATGAAATATTTCCATTAAATCTCCTTTGAACAACCTGTTTATGTAAAAAAAACATCATTATATAGTAATTTCTGATGGATGTTGAAAACATTATATTTAAAACCGGATTTGATAGTATTTAGCTGTTTGCAATGTCTGAGGACCTTAATATCCAAAGTATTGAAAACACATACTTTATTAATTTTTAGTGTTAGCACATCTCTCCACCTGGTTCTTGACCAATTTGTATTGTCTTCGGTAGCCTCCTAGGTTTCAACAATTCAGGCCCTTAGCATCATGGGCAACTCCTAAAGCGGCGAAACTGCCACATGATGCAGTTTTACTTCCTTCTATGGTTTATGTCTTGAATGGTGATATTTATTTATGCGTTTGTACATAGGTGCATGGATGTCTTTTGTAAATCTGTTTTATTTAGGATAAAATTACAGGCATATGCATATTTGAAAAATGTACATGTCTTACATACATTTCCCCTAAATAGTTATATTTATGAATCTATTTCCTTACCGTCCATACTCTGTCGTTAAAGATGAAGATCGGAGCAAGTCTGGCAAATGTAGTGTTTTCCCCTGTAAAATAAATCATGATGTAGGTATAGGTATCTTTGATTTCATGTATGCTATATATAAATCTGTATCATGCATTAACATCTTGGCTTCAACAATTTTTTTTTTCGTTTCCGTCTTTTTCCCGATTATAGTTTATAAAATGGTAAAGGGTTCCTGCACTGTTTCTCGGATTGGCAGTTTTTACTGATGTTTTCACAGATTCATTTCGATGTTTTTTTTTATTTATTTTAGGTAGATCAATGAGGTTAAGAAATCAATGGATCTAAAAGGAGCGGAACATCTTTCAAGGAAAGAAAATCAACAGGCATATCAAACAACAGTAATGTCAATTCACAACCCGCAAATTACAAAGATCTCTATCACAGTACACCAAGTGCAGGGATTATTCAGGCAGGATGAAATGATTAGATACGCTTAAGAAAAATACAAATTTAAAGACAGCAAATGACAACCGAAAAACTTGACAAGACTCCTACGTTAATCCAGATCTCAACAGTATTAGTATAATTAAATGAACTGGTAAGATCCACAATGTCATATCTGCAAATATTATTTTTTGTTTTAAAAAAGTATATCTTACATCTTGTATAGGAACATCGCTAATGAAAAGGCAAAACTGTGACAATTGTATTAAGATTCAACAAACGTGAGTTCGCAGAAAAAAGCCTCATATAGAACATATGAGTACATTAATTCAGCATGTGCGTTGGATGAACAGAATAAAAAGAAATAAAATGAAAAAGAAAAGAATAAAATTACCGTCTGCTTTCTTTTGAAAATAGGTGTATCCGTCATTGCTGGGATTATTTGACAAACTGTGTCTTTTAGAATATGTTTTACATGACTTCTGTGCTTGGGTATATGCAAATGAAACACATTCCTTCTTTTCACATAGTTTCGCGCAAAGAGGGAGCTCGGCAACATCAGAAACGTGGTCTATCAACGACACAGCATTATTAACGCCTTTTAAAATGGCGTGGTAAGAATAACCTTCTGCAGTGGCAACAAAATCGAGAAACAAGTATACTATGACCGAGGAGATCATTTTCAGTTGAAGTGAGGCAAAACAGACAGAAATCCTACGTCGTCTTGCAGTAGGCGAGTACCTTTTATATCTATAATGTGTATCCGTGCAAATTAAAACGTGTTTACTTGTTCACGCGGCATAATATCACCATAAAACTTCATTAACCAATAGAAATGTTTCAGATCATGCTTCACTTCCACAATAATTAAAAAAATATGAATGCTTATCTACAGAATGTACGGGAAATGTGGGAAATGAAGTGTAATTAATTGGTTTTCGTTAGTATTCCTTGTCATTTTGTTGTTAGAAACGTCATACCATACAATAACCTGATATTTACACGGATTGGTCAGGATTTACAGGTGGGCGTCCGCAATGAGGCAGAAGACTCTTACCTTGTTCCTTGCCGAAACGCAAAGTTTTATTCTCATTTAACCTTGTAATAATCTCGGTGTAAATCGTTTATCCCTCCTTTCATCATTCATAAGTTAAGTCATAATTGTTTGCTCAGTCAGGCAGCACCTCGTGCTTTTTTCTATTGAAAATCTACCAAAATGAACTCGAAATCAAAATTTCTTGGAATAATATTGTAAGCTAAGAACCATTCCAACAGGGAATGAGAGATCTTTTGGTCTGTATGTTAGCCAGGTTTTCAATATTTTCAGTCGATATTAAATCAATTAAACAATATGATCTTTCCGTAAACCAAGCCCTATGGGTCGGTCAGGTTCAATATTTACATGGCGGCTGTCGTCTATTAAGCAGAAGACTTTAACTCTTCCGGAAAACCTGGACTTATTTTCATTGTACTTTTTTCAGGAGTGCCCGTGTAATTTTTTCTGTTGATCATATTTTACCCTAGTTTTAATAAAACTGAGTTTGAATTACGATTATCTTTACTTGCTGGCATTTTCTTGCTGTTTTTATTGATACCTCATCAATCTGACCCATTCCATATTATCACTTATAACCTGAACTATACTAAAAGGATAAAGAAACGCAGAGTAAACTTTAAACCAGAAATTAACTATGATATCGGGCTACATTTAAAACGAAATTTTGTATACTTACAGATAAATTAAAGCTTAAAAATTTCCAAAATCTGTATTTTGCATCTGACAATTGGTTTAGAGGTACTAACGATTAAATTGAATGGACCCATAGGATTTTGAAATTAAAATTGAGCTGAGTCATCAATATCTTGTGTGTCCGCCGTTTGCTGTGGTCACGGCCCTTATTCTTCTTGTCATAGTGTTCATGAGAGCGTTAATCCGTCTTATGGGGATGTTGTCCCACTCTTCAAACAGAGCTCTGGTCAACTGCTCTCGACTAGCAGTGGGTGGCTGGCGCTTTCGAACCTGTCTATCCAATCGGTCCCAAAGATGGTCGATCGGAAACAAATCAGGGCTATATGGCGGCCAATCTATTGGTTGAATGTTGTTGTTGGCCAGAAAGACTTGGCAAATCCTTGCTACGTGAGGCCTAGCATTATCCTGCTGGAGGGTTAGATTATGCTGCTGTAAGAAAGGGATAACATGGGGTCGGAGGATCTCATCTCTATACTTAGCTGCTGTTAAATTGCCATCAATAACAACAAATTGTGATTTTAACCCGTGTGAGATTCCTCCCACACAATTACTGAACCGCCCCCAAACCCATCCCTCTCTACAACGCAAGCGTCCGTAAAACGTTCGCCACGACGTCGGTAGACACGTTGACGGCCGTCAGATCGATAAAGACAGAATCGAGACTCGTCCGTGAAGAAAACTTGTCTCCACTGCCTCAGTGGAAACCGTCGTGGAGCATGTGCAGCGACCCAGGCCATACGACGCTGACGTCGAGTAGGGGTAAGGTGTGGACCTACGTAGGGGCGACGTGCTCTTACACCAACTTCTCGTAATCGATTCCTTACAGTTTTTGAACTTATAGGACGCCCATGATTTCCACGAACATTAAGTGCCGATTACGCACATGAGAGACGACGATATATCGATCATGACGTCGTGACGTTACGCGCGGACGTCCTGACCTAGGTCGAACGGCCAATGGCCCAATTTCCCGAAGACGTCTTACAAGACGTTGTATAGTGGAAACATTAGCACCAAAGTGCCTAGCAACCTGATTTTGCAGCTGTCCTTGCATCAGCATCTGAATGGCCTGACCCCTCTGAACTACTGTGAGTCGTGCATTCTTAAAACGAAACAAATTCTCAATTAATTTTAGGGAAGCAGTTGGTCTGTATAAAGACTAACGAAGAGTGACTTGACCAACGCTGCATGAGACCAGAACAACACAGCGCACGAAATTCTTGTTTTTTGCTTCTTCCATTTACCAGAGCTGCGCAATGTACCGTGACTAAATTTTCGATACATGACAAGGTGTAATATGAACTCATTACTCAATCCACAAAGTTTCACTTTATTTGGAGAACGCGTTTTCAAAATATCGGAATAAATATTACCCTGCGTTTCTTTATCCTTTCAGTATATTTCAGATAGAAATCGAACAAGTTGTACTCAAAACTCCAAATGCATTTCTTCCGAAGTGATATGTTCGGACTTCTTGCCTTTTTATGTCCATACATATGCGTAGCTTACTCTGTTCAGAAGACACTGGAGACACTGAAATTTTAAACATAATTGACAGGTCTTGGTCATTACAATGTTTTTCAATACTTCTTATTTCACCAATACGTTAAATCGTATTTCGTCCATGACTTCCAAACAGGACTTCTATTGGTTGTGCTATAACTTGTATTCAAGTACATATCATCGTACATCTTGAGAGAAGACAACTTCAATCTCTCATTTTTTCAATGATAGATGTACATTACAAGCACATTAATAATCCAATGTTTGAAGCAGAAAACCCTACATTAGGTTTCGGAGTGCTTCGCAATATATGTACTAATTAGTATCATCCCGTATGATCTAGTTCATTTTAAACCTATCAGATTTAATCATGCTGTCCATCCTTTGAAATAAACATATAGGTTACAATGTTTCTACTAAATCATATCACTTTTATGAACAAAGATGGAAGGCGTTACCTTATTTGTATAGTGGAGTATGTATGATGTGCTAATAAACTAGGTCAGGGGTAGAAATTAGGTAAAGAAAAAACTTGAAAAACTGGAACTCGACCTGGAAATTAACTGTTGCAAAAATATCAAAACGCGCATCAACCAAAATACATGGTTCATACAAACTTTCCAAGACAAAATTCAAGGACTTTTCAAGGCTCAATTCACTTTTTTCAATGCTTTTTGTTCAGAAATATTAAGTACGTTTTACAATGACAAACGCAGAAAACATAATATGTATACCGATTTCAGATATTTCAATTAAGGTTAGTTTTGTCAGAGGTGTCTTAGGGTCATCATTCATATTCAACTGTATACCAAATCAAGTCTTTCAGAGCATTCACTTTGCTTTCAATCAAGTCAGTTAAGTTTTTGCACTGTTCAGTCCTTTCCTTTGCACTCCTGCGAAGGGAATTAGAATGAGACAAGTGAGTGAGATTACTTTCTACCTCAGTGAATCTGGTCCTGTTGAGCTTGCTTATTTCTTCCTCCAAAGCCTCACGCTTTCTTTTCTGCTCAGTTTTGTTTTCATGTCCCTAGCCTCATTGTTCTGCCAGGTATAAATCATACTTTTGCCTGGCTGCTCTAGCACTAGACAGTAGTTCTTTGGCAAGAGAGACAGTTTTCTGTTCAACTTTTATATTAGATATCTTTTTTTGTTTTTTAAACATTCCGTCGTGCATGCTTTAATCCTCCGACGTGACTCCTCAACGCCGATTCCCCCATCTTTCCGAGGTCTATATCTTTTGAACATCGTAAACTGTGGGCCTTACATCAATCGCCTTTCACTTCCCTTACCCAGTTATTTGCAGCGCGAAGCGGGGGGAAGTGCAGATTGCGCATCGTGTCCGCGCATGTTTGAATTACCTCCCTTTACCCTTAGTTGTGACTAAAGCCATGTACTGACGAATTGTGTGACGTAATGACGGCAGGTATAACTTATTTATCGATGTTTTCGTTTTACTCGAGACAAAATAAACATTTGAAATTGCGGAATATGTAAGATTCAAGGACTTTTCCGGGCATTGTTTCTAAATTCAAGGAGTTTCAAGGCCAAAATTTGTTTTCAAGGACTTTCCACCCCCACTGTAAATTCCAGTACTTTTCAAGACTGTGAGAACCATGAAATAATCCAGTCTCCATCACCCACTAGCCAAGTTATTACCGCACCTAGGTATATGTCAATGTCACGTGGCTTTAAAATGCACCGCTGCAATATTTTACAGCAATTAGAAAATGTTATATTGGCGACAGTAAAGAGAGTCCGCCCTGACCAAAAATGAATTAAACTCGGCTCGTAAAATAATGGAATTATGGATTTTTTAATCAAAACTAATAAAGAAAATCTTTGTGGACAAAGTCATATATATTGTCATAATATACGGATACGGCCATTAACTGGAAAAAAAATTACAGAAGAGCACGTAAACAGCTACCAGTATCGGTTAGATATGCTTTTAGAACAGAATCGAAATCCGTCCTCCAGATTCGAGACTGCCTAAATAGTAATCTCCAACACAAAATATTATTCTAAAAAAATGAAACCCTACATTGCCCAAATAGTAATCTCCAACACAAAATATTATTCTAAAAAAATGAAACCCTACATTGCCCACTTTAACATGACAAGACAAATTTTAGCAAGGATTTATTTTTTCAATTTTAATTAAAACCTTTATAATGGGGTAATCTAAATAACAAAAACATCACCCATGGCCACACCGAGAAACTGTATACTACTGTAACAAGTGCATGTCTGATTCTAATACAAACACTGTTTAGGGTTCTTGGTTTTTATTGAACTAAAGGTGGATATAAACTCTGAAACATAAAAATACATTACATGAGCACACTCTCAACGTTCATTCTTACACAAGGGCGATAAACCCGTCACGGTTATTGATACACATGTATTCGATTTTACACAATTACACAT